ACTCCAGTTCGGCCGGCCGGCTGAAAGCATGGGGTTTGTTTAGCGTCTATAATTGCAACATAGTTGCTTAGAGTGCAAACTCAGAGCCCAGCAGCGGCAGGCGGGGGACCTTGGCTTCCTCCTTCACTGGAGCCAGCAAGCCTCTTTCTTGTTTGCTTCAGCTGCCTGGCTGCCGGCCGCCATCTTGGTTGGCAGTTAATTTGCATATCGCCCTGATTAGCCAATGGGAAGCGTGTCAGAGGTATGGTTAATTACTGTGTTTGTCTATTATTAGATAGGATGTGACATTTCAAATCATAATGGAAAAATAATGCTGCAATAAGTGATTTGTTAAGGCTAGCTATCCAAATGGAACAAAATGAGATTCCTTCCTCCTATCATGCAAACAAATAAGTTTTTGTGTAAAGGATCTAAACAAAATTTTAAGATTATAGAGAAAATTTTTAAAGCAGAATATATAAAATAAAACCCCTAACAAAATAAATGTATTAGTCTATGTCATAATTTAAATCCTTTGTACAAGTGACACCAAAACATGCCATTGACAGCAGCTCCAAAAATGAGCTAATAGGAAATGTAATTTGTAGTAGAAGAGATCAAACCAAACCCTAAATTATAGGATAACATGCTCAAAACATTAGTAATCACACAAAATAAAGACATATCACTTTACTGGTACACAATTAGGCTGGCCAAAAAGGGGAGGGAATATAGAAATTTAGATGATGCCAAGTGTCTGTGGCTATGTGGGGATACAGGATCCTCATGATGGAGGCTGCCTCCCGCCCCTTTCACAGTCTGCAGGTCTTTGGCCAGTCCAAGGTATGTGTTCCAGTAGTACAACCCATCCAGGGCAGGATCAGAGTCACAGTTCTCAGCTCATCTGTTCTGGTCCACACCACGGTTGCCTTCTATCATTCCCTGCAATTTGGCCGGAGAGAGGGTAGGGTTACATCCTAGTCTCCTTAACTCTGCGAGTGTAGTTTCTGAGGTCTTAGCTCAGACGCTGTGCATCAGCCACCTAGGTAACTGCAATGTGTACTTCAGTCATCTCCCAGAGTGGGGAATGCCTGATGCAGATGGGTGCCAACCACAGGAGAAAGGAAGTGGCTGAGGGAATTTGAGAAGGTATACATGTTCTGTGTCCCAGCTCAGTCCAGGCTTTGTACCCCTCCCACCCTCCCATTTTATACAACTCTACAACACTGTGAGGCCTCCTCACTCTTTACAAGTGTGATCAGAGTCCCATTTGGTGGCCAGTACTGATCTGGAAGTCTGCAGCAAGAGAGAGTGAAATGAGATAGAATCCTCCTGCTGGATTCCCTTTACTCTGGTAGTACTTTGGGCAGTCTGGGCTGTTTGCTTGGTGGGGTGACCCCGACCTCCACCCCCAGTGTGATGTTTGTGGTTGTTTCTGTGTTCATTGAAATTCATTGATGGTATATCAGTTGAGGAAAACCCCTGTTACTTCTAGGTACTAGACACACTAGCCTACTTCATTATGTCCTAGTTCATGATTGTCAGTTGTAACCCCAGTCATGATAGTCACTCCTTTCTTTGCCTCTTGCGCCATTGACAAAGAACAGATAGTAGGCAGGTGGTCATCACAGCTTCCACCTAAAATTTCTGACTCCTGAGAGAATTGTCACTTCTCCTATCTCTAGGAACTAGGACCTGTAATCACTGAGAGCCCAAGATTATCCAATAAATGAATCAGAGCAGTATTTCTAAGTTTGGTACTCATTTCCTCCAAATTTGAATTTCCAAGAGACCCACCAAAACTTTTTTAACCAGTTAACTGCCACGATATTTTGAATTTAATTTAAAAAAGGTCCGCTGCTTGCGTCTATGGCTGCTTATGGCGTACAAATGGTTAAGTAGTGAGATATTTGAGGCACAACACCTTGTCCTTCACCTGAGAAAAAGTATTCTGACATGCACTCAACCTTCCCTGGTTACCCTGGCAAGTGGCCATAGGTTCCTTTGAGAAAGGATTGGAGAAATACTTACTGCATACTTCTGTGATGGAGTTACGGGAGCTTTCCTCAAGTTCGGCTGCCTGCTGCCACAAAAGCCAAACTCGTGAGACAGATGCTGGTGAAAAAGGAAGGAGGTCTATTCAAGTGCTGGTCTCCTAAGAAGATGGGAGACTCTTGTCACCAAGCCTATCTCCATATCTCAGTGTAGGCAGAGGTTTTCAAAAGGAGGAAAAGGGAAGGCAGAACAAAGAAATCAAGGGAGGAGGTTGAAGAGTTCTCTACATGCAGGCCAGTAGAGTCCATTCCAAAAGGATCTCAAAACTGGTCAAGTGATAGTCTGGTGTGTGTTTTCCTGCTCTTCATCATCCTGGGTCTGTGTCATCCTGGTTCTATGGCTGAAGGTCAACAAATCTGGAACTGGGATGATTGAAGGTCAGAGTCTGCATCTTCTGAAGTTAGTTCCTAGGATTCTTATATAAACATGCTGTTATCTACAAGTTACATATTAGTCAGAGTTACCATTTATAGAAACAATGTCAAAAAAATAGTGGGGTGGGTTACAGTTTCCAAGGGCAGTGGTCGGCAAACCGCTGCTCGCGAGCCACATGAGGCTCTTTGGCCCCTTGAGTGTGGCTCTTCCACAAAATACCATGTGTCGGCTCGCACATACAGTGTGATTGAAACTTCATGGCCCATGCACAGAAGTCGGTTTTCTGCCTGGGCGAGTCTATTTTGAAGAATTGGCGTTAGAAGAAGTGGGGGGTGTCTGTCAGTCAGGCAATGGGAGACGCAGCGTGAGGGAGGCACCAAATATCAACAGTACTTAAACTATATAGGTAGGTTAATAACAATGTACCTACCTATATAGTTTAAGTTTAAAACATTTGGCTCTCAAAAGAAATTTCAATCGTACCGTTGATATTTGGCTCTGTTGACTAAAGAGTTTGCTGACCACTGTCCTAGGGTAACGATTTTCTTTTATTTATTTTTTAATCCTCACTCAAGGAAATATTTCCATTGATTTTTAGAGAGAGTGGAAGAGAGATGGAAAGACCGAGATATCGATGTGAGAGAAACACATCAATTGGTTGCCTCCTGCATGAGCCCAGACCCGGGCCCAGGCCAGGGAGGAGCCTGCAACCGAGATATGTGCCCTTGCCTGGAATTGAACCTAGGACCCTTTGGTCTGCAGGCCAACTCTATCCACTGAGCCAAACCAGCTAGGGCTAGGGCAGCAATTTTCAACCGCTATGCCACAAGAATTTTTAAAGCATACAATACCTGACTTTTTAGTCAGGGGCATTGACCTCTTTTCCCCTTAGATTGTAAAAAAAAAGAGAGAGAGAGAGAGAGATGGCCAACCCAGCAGTAGTCATCCAGTGTGAAAGAATCAAAATTATACTTTTTTTTGGTGGTCAGATTGGCAAAAAATCTATTTTTTGGTGTGCTGCAGACTTTTAGTAATAAGTTATGTCTGCCATGAGATGAAAAAATTGAAAATCTAGGCACTAGGGAAACTGCCCTTCCTTTTAATCAATGTCCTCTATATCTACAAGTTTCGAGCTTGGAATGGGTTGTGGGATCTTAACTTTCCATTGAGGTAGAAGACGTCTAGTTCACTAATTCTCAGGGGTTTTTTTTTTTCTATTTATATAAAAAACTAATGCGGAGAAACAAGGCCATAGCATTTATATCATCACTAGGGAATTGTGATGCATCAACCACCACCTCAGATCTCTGCACGTCAAAGCACCTTGACCACCACTCGAACTCTGCTGGGTCCTTAATTTGCCAGGAAGGTTTTCAAGTGTTTTTACCCAAGTAATAATCGTGCGTCAAAGGTGAGAGTGCCCATGTCAATAAATGGTCTCCTCTCCACTCTTAAATTCTACCTTCACCTAACACCGAGATCCACTTTTACACATGCTCCCAGGTCGTATAATTCTTTTGCTATGTAGGCATTTCTTCCCAAAGCAGGGTTTGCAGTTCTCTATCCAGGCTATGCTGGTACCTGTCTCTTGGTATCAGCCTGGAGGCAATGAGGAATAATGATGATGATGATGATGATGATGATGATGATTACGTAAGGCATCCCCCTCGGGTGAAACTAATTCTCTCCTGGTAATATGGAGGGGACTGTTTTTGCCATCGGAAAGGGCTCCAGGAAATTGGAGATGGGGTAAGGAGGGAGTCAGTATTCTTAGATTCTCCATTCAGATACCCGAACCCCAAATCCTAAGGTCTTACTCTTTCTGTATCTGGGCTGATTTTTACACCAGACCTGCTGAGCTGCATATTAGTCTTCTTTGCAGCTCTGCCACTCATCATTAGACTGACTCTGGCAGGTTTTCAGTACTCTCCCCGGTGGTGGCAGAAGATAAGGTTCTTTGGCTTTCAGCAAATACCTTAAATTGGAGGATGACTATCATCTATTTTTTTAAAATGACATGTTATTATATTCCATTCAAGTGCTAGTGGGGAAATGAATCTCGGATGGGTCATTGACCAAGAGAGAGAGAAAAAAAGCAGAATTATACCTATCCAGGAAGGTGCACAACGTTTCCTTCCCAATATAGACATTCACACCTATAGCTACACAATATATTTTCTTTGCAAGTATACAGAGATCATAAAAGAAAAAATATACTGGGAAATATAGTCTCAATAAATGTTGAAGAATTAGTATTAGAGCATTCTCTGGCCACAATAAAATTTTGTTAGAAATAAGTATCAGAAATAGAACTAGAATGTTTTAGTTTTTGTAATTAGGAACTAAAAAATAACCACATCAAAGACTATATTGAAAAAGAAATTTGATAATTTTTTAGCTAAATGATGAAAATATGTTATGACTCAAAACCTGCAGAATGCAGCTAAACTAGTACTAGGTGAAATTTTATAAATCAGAATGCCTATATTGGGAAAGTAAAAAAAGCTGAAAATTAATGAGCCTCCTTCCATCTTAAAATGTCAGGAAAATGAGCAGGAAATTAATTTATAATGAAATATAAAGACATTAAGTTTATAAAATAGAAAAATGCATGATAAAAAGGAACAGCAAAGGTTAAAATTTGGCTTTTTGACAAGACTAATAAAGTTGACAACTCCCTAGAAGACTAACAAACCAAAAAAAGATCACACAAAAAGCCAACAGTGGGAATGTGAAAGTGGACAATACTAAGCAGAAAAGCAGAGGGCATTATATGCCAATAAATTCTGTTTGGTTGACATAAATTCCTAGGAAGGAATTACCCACCAGAAAGAAAAGGAAAACTGAATAGTTCTATATTCATTAAAAATAGAATTAAAGTTGAGTTTCCGCCAAAGTTAATAGAAGATATGTTGATGGCAAATAAGCATATGAAAAATATTCAGTATCATTAGTAATTGGAGAATACAAATTAAAATCAACCACAAGTATAGCTAAAAGTTTAAAGACAAAAAAATAACAAATGCTGATGAAGAGCAACAGGAACTCACATACATTGCTAGTGGGAATGCAAAATGGTACACTTTGGAAAATAGTTTGGCAGTTTCTTTTTTCTTTTTTAAGTATATATATATATATAATTTTATTGATTTCAGAGAGAGGAAGGGAGAGGGAGAGAGGGAAACATCAATGATGAGAGAGAATCATTGATCGGCTGCCTCCTGCATGTCCCTTACTGGTGATTGAGCCTGCAACCTGGGCATGTTGCCCTAACCAGGAATCAAACCATGACCTCCTGGTTCATAGGTCAATGCTCAACCATTAGGCCATACCAACCAGACTTGGCAGCTTCTTATAAAGTTAAACATGCACTTATCATACAAACCAGCATTCCTATTTCTACATATTTACCTAAGTAATAAAATTATATGTGTACCATAAGAAAGAAAAACTCAAAAAAAAATGTTTACTGACTGACAGTTTATAAGTCTCTCTTCCTCTTCTGCCTCACATATGGGCAAGCAGACAAGACCTCAGCCCAGGTCCCTCCTTCCTTAGTGGTGATGGGAAATTCAAACCAAGAGGCCTCTGCCCATGCTCAGGAACCCTCACTCTGGCCCCAAACCCCAACCACCATAAAAACCCCAAGCAGTTTCCCTTCCTTAATCTTTCAAGCCATTTTTGTATCTGCTTGGTAGCTATCCTGCTCTCCCTAGACAGCAAGTCTTTTCTTGGTGTTTGGGTGGCATTATCAGACTTGATGTCCAAACCAAACTTGGCAAATATGGTAGCAGGGTGACGACCATATCCACAGAAAGGCTATGCAGGAACATTTATAGAAACTAGGAACAAACCAAATGTTTATCAACTTGTGAGTGGATAAACAAATTGTGGTTTATCTACCCAGTAGAAAACTACTCAGCAATAAAGAGGAAGAAAATCCTGATACATGTGAAAGCACAGGTGAATCTCAAAGGTGTTATGCTAAGTGAAAGAAGCCAAATCACAAAGGCCACATACTGAATGAATCCACTTAAAGGACATTATTGAAAATGCAAAAACTGTAGAAATTGAAATCAAATCAGCAATTTTCTGGGCCTGGGACTAAGGAGAGGAGATTGAATATGAAGGTGTGTAAGAGAATTTTGGGGTTGATGGAAATGACCTATATTTTGTGGAGGTGGCATATGATGTATATCTTTTGTCAAAATCCATTGAACTATACACTTATAAAAAGTTTTGCCTAAAAAAAAAAACTTTAGGCTTGACTGGTGAGTTCTGGTAAATATTTAATGAAAAGATAATTCCAAATCTTATAAAATTTCCAAAGAATAGAAATAAATGAACACTCTCTAACATTTTATAAGGCTAGCATAAATTATTAAAATCTGACAAAGACATTAAAAGAAAATTACAGGCCATTGTCAATTATGAACATAAGTGCAAATATTTAAAAATGTCAGTAAAGCAAAACCAGTAATATAAACAAAAAAGCCGGCAGTACAGCGGTGCTGGTGGGAGCCTCTCCCGCCTGCTCAGCAGTGCTAAGGATGTCTGACTGCAGCTTAGGCCTGCTCCCCGCTGGCAAGTGGACATCCCCCGAGGGCTCCCAGGCTGCCAGTGGGATGTCTGATTGCCAGCTTAGGCCCAATCCCCCGGGGAGTGGGCCTAAGCCAGCAGGTGGTCATCCCCTGAGGGGTCCCAGACTGCAAGAGGCACAGGCCAGGCTGAGGGACATCTCCTCCCCCCACCCGAGTGCACAAATTTTTGTGCACCGGGACTCTACTAGTATATAAAAACCTCCCCTGTCTATGGAATGTTAAGCTGAAACCCAAGACAATCAAAGCCTTCCATATTCAATATACCAGTATTTTCTGGTTGTACCAAAAAAATAAACAACCAGCAAATGATTTCACCTCTTAAAAAAGCATTTACACTTTTAAAAATGGGATGATGTGGAAGTCCCTCCTTCTTAAGAATGTTTCTAGAGCTACCAAAAAACTTACATTTACAAAATAGTTGACAAAAATATTCCTCTGGATTGTATAAGCAGGGAGACAGGGACCACTGATAAGACATGCAATAGGATATTAATCAGACGTGGCTTCCTTTTCTCCTGCTTGATCTGAGGCTGGACTCTCCTCATTAGTTTCTCCATTTTCTGCAGGTAAGTCTTCAGGTTTCTGGTCTGCCACTTCGACCTGCTGACCCTTTGCTTCCCTTTTCCCTTTCGTTTGCACTTTTTTGTCTGCAGATTTATCCTTTCCTGGTGCTTTTTCTGGTGCTTTGTTTTCACTTTTCCAGGAGCAGGTTTGGCTGACGACCTAGACGACTCCTCCATGGCTGCCCTCCTTGGCTGCTCCCGAGGTGGAGCAGACCATCCTTTTGGGCATCACTGTGGTGGGGCTGATGCATGCTGTGTACCTGAGGGCTGTGGCACGCCTAGTGATTTCATGAACCTGGGCTGCCTGGCTGCTACCACTTCTCCCGCCATCCACGCTGCTCAGACCAATGAGGAACTGTTATTTTGAGAAATGTGTCTACATAAAAGTTACCACAAACTATTCTTGCTTGTACAACATTGAAATATTTCCCATTATAATCAGGAATAAAACAACCCAGCATGACGACCATTTGCATATTAGCTCTTTATTATATAGGATAATGAATTCTCAGAGAATCCAAGCAAATAATTCCATTGACCCTTGCAACAAAAAAATTAAGTTACTTAGGAATAAACTTAAGGAGGTGCAAGACCTGTATACGGAAAACTAGAGGACATTGAAAAAAAGAGATCAAGGAAGATATAAACAAGTGGAAGAATACACCGTGTTCATGAATAGGTAGAAATAACAGCATTAAAAGTTCAATACTACTTAAAGCAATCTACAGATTCAGTGCAATCCCTATTAAAATACCAACAGCATATTTCACAGATCTAGAACAAACACTCCAAAAATTTATATGGAAGCAAAAACGACCCCAAATAGCTGCAGCAATCTTGGGAAATAACAACAAAGTTGGAGGAACCACAATACCAGATATTAAGTTATACTACAAAGCCACCATAATCTAAGCATCCTGGTACTGCCACAGATCAGGTATATAGATCAATGAATAGAACAGAGAACCCAGAAATCAACCCAAGCTGTTACGCTCCATTAATATGTGACAATGAAGGTGAGACTATACAATGGAGTCAAGATAATCTCTTCAATAAATGGTGTTGGGAAAACTGGATCTGGTAATAATAAATATGATAAAGGTTTAATATCCAAAATATATAAGGAACTCATACAACTTAACCAAGGGAAGATAAACAGTCCAATTAAAAAATTGACAAAGAACCTGAGTAGACACTTCTCCAACATTTATATATAGACAAGATACATGAAAAAAATGCTCAAAGTCACTGATCATTAGAGAGTTGCAAATGAGGTATCACCTCACATCTGCCAGAATGGCTACCATCAACAAATGAACAAATGACAGGTGCTGACAAGGATGTGGAGAAAGGGAACCCTAGCACACTGCTGGTAGGGATGCAGACTGGTGCAGTCATTATGGAAAACAGTATGGAGTTTCCTCAAAAAAATTTAAAATGAAACTTCCATTTGACCCAGTGATCCCACTTCTAGAATATATCCTAAGAAATCCAAAACACCAATCAGAAAGAATGTATGCACTCCTGTGTTCATAACAGCACAATTGACAATAGCTAAGATTTGGAAACAGCCCATGTGCCTATCAGTAGACAAGTGGATAAAAATGCTGTGGTAAATTTACACCATTGAATATTATGCAGCAGTAAAAAGGAAGGATCTCTTATCCCTCTTATCCTTTGAGACAGCATGGAGGACTTGGAGAGTGATATCCTAAGTAAAATAAGCCAGTCAGAGAAAGACAAGTATCACATGATCTCACTCATATGTGGAATCTAATGAACATAATAAACTGATGAATAAAAGATCCAGAGACATTGAAGAATGGAATAGACTGTGGAATCTCAGAGGAAAGGCGGGGGAGGGTGGGGGGGTGGGAAGTGATCAACCAACAAACTTGTATGCATATATGCATAACCCATGGACGCAGACAATAGTGTGGTGAAGACCTGGGGTAGGGGGTATGAGTGGGCTAGAAGGGGTCAATGGGGAAGGAAGGAGACATATGTAATATTGTCAACAGTAAAGATTTAATGTAAAACAGTAACAAGAAAATAAAATAACATACCTTTAAAAAAAAGTGATACAAGTACCTAGGAATAAATGAAACAAAGTGTGCATACAACCTTTTCAGGTAAAATTATAAATCTTTATTTAGATCTATTAAATAAAACATGTTTCTGGGTCAGAAGACTCATTGTTTTTTTTTTAATATATTTTATTGATTTTTTACAGTGAGGAAGGGAGAGAGATAGAGAGTTAGAAACATCGATGAGAGAGAAACATCGATCAGCTGCCTCCTGCACATCCCCTACTGGGAATGTGCCCGCAACCAAGGTACATGCCCTTGACTGGAATCGAACCTGGGACCTTTCAGTCCGCAGGCCGATGCTCTATCCACTGAGCCAAACCGGTTTTGGCATGAAGAAGACTCATTGTTAAAGATATGTCAATAATTATATATATATATATATGTCAATATTTTATATATATATAATTTAAAGCTATCCCACTTTTTTTCTTGACCTTGACAATATGATTCTAAAACATATGGAAATGCAAAGGGCTAAGAATAGGTAAGGTATAGTCAAATAATGAAATTGAAGCATGATATCAATGCTTACTATAAAGAAAGTTAAGAAAGGGCTATATTGGTGGTGGTATGAGAAAGAGAAAGAGCCTAGAAAACAGACCCATGAATATAAAGACATGATTGAACAAGGAAGCAGCACTGAAGGACAAAGGGAAGAAAGGACTATTGTAAAAAATAAATAGTACTGCAATATTTGAGTATCCATATGAGGAAAATAATGGAATCCTTTCTCAAATTATATGCAATTATTAATTCCATGACCTGTACAAAGTAAACAATAAAACATTTAGAAAAATGAGCATAGAGAAAAATACTGCTTAAATCAGTCATGAAAGAACTGTCCATGAAGGAACATATTTGCAATTTAATTAAAATTTAAAAGTTCTTCACATGAAAAGCAACATTTGAATTTTGAAAAAAATAAAGGTGTGTTAGAAAATATTTGCAAGACATATAAACAAGAAATATTTAAAATGTAGAATATATTTTTTCTAAATTTAAAAATATATTCAAAAGTCTTTTCAATGAGATGCCCCATCTCAGCTCCCACCTGGGCTGATGATCATGTGTTTTCGCCTTTAACAGTCTCTGGTGGCTCTGTTGCTTTCTATCCTGGTGTAATTGGCACAGGTGGTTTGAATGGTAGGGAGGATACAGGGAGACCCAGGAAACCTAGAAATGCACCTGCACAACAACTTGTATGCCATGGTCAGAGTTGAGTCTCATACTAAGCCAGCCTGGAGGTTGATCCCACACATGAATGGGCCAAGAGCAATCATGACCCAATTACAACAGGAGGGCTCACCTAAACCACACAAGGGACATTCCTACAGCATCCAACTTGGGAGGTCAAAGAGACTGTGCCAAAGTGTCCCCCGGGACACTTACTACATAAGGCCATCTCATGAGGACGGGAAGGCAGCTAAAATGGGAGATAAACAACCCCAAATGAAGGGAAAGGAGAAAATCTCCAGAAAAAAAGCTAAATGAAATGGAGGCAAGCAATTTATCAATATAGAGTTCAAAGTAATGGTTATAAAAATGCTTAAGGAATTTAGTGAAAATTACAATGAATTTAGTGGGAACTACAACAATATGAAAAATGAAATAGAAACCACGAGCAAGAATCAATGGAAAATGAAGAATACAATATCTGACATCAGGAATACACTGGAAGGAATTAAAAGTAGATTGAATGTTGCAGAGGATCAAATCAGTGACTTGAAAGACAAAGTAGAAAAAACACCCAATTCAAGCAGCAAACAGGAAAAAAATCATTAAAAGCAGGAGGATAGTTAAAGGGAACTTTGGGACAAAATGAAATGTAACAACCCGCATCATAGGGGTACCATAAGGTGAAGAGAGTGAGCAAGGAATAGAGAACCTATTTAAAGAAATAATAAAAGAAGACTTCCCTAACCTGGTGGAGGAAAAGCTCACAAAAGTTGAGGAAACACAGAGTCCAAATCAAGATGACTCCAAAGAGACACACACCAACACACATAACTAAAATGACAAATGTTAAAGAAAAAAAGATATAAGCTTAAAGGCAGCAAAAGAGAAGAGAAAGTTACCTACAAGGGAGTTCCCTTTAGACTGTCAGCAGACTTCTCAACAGAAACACTTCAGGCCAGAAAGGATTGACATTAAATATTCAAAGTAATGAAAAGCAAGAACCTGAATCCAAGACTACTCTATCCAGCAAGGCCATCATTTAAAACTGAAGGCGAAATAAAGAGCTTCCTAGACAAAAAATAAAATGCTAAAGGAGTACATTACCACCAAACAAGCATTGCAAGAAATGCTAAAGGGACTGATTAAAGAAGAAATCAAGAGAGAGGAACATTGGTATAAAGAAAAAATGGCAATAAATAAGTACCTATCAATAATAACCTTAAATATAAATGGATTAAATTCTCCAATCAAAAGATAGGGTAGTAGAATGGATAAGAAAAGATAACCCAAATATATGCTGTCCACAAGAGACCTATTTTGAAACAAAAGATATATACAGACTGAAAGTGAAGGGCTGAAACACTATATTACATGCAGATGGAAACAAAAAGAATGCTGGGGTAGCAATACTCATAACTGACAAAATAGACTTCAAAAAAAAGACCATAAAAGAGATAAAGAAAGTCACTACATAATACTAAAGGGATTGATACAAGAAAATATAACCCTTGTAAATATCTATACACCCCATATTGGAGCACCTAAAAGTATCCTATATAATAAAACCCTAATATGCAAATTGACCGAATGGTGGAACAGTGGTTGCTATGCTGTGCACTGATCCCAGAGGGCAGACACTCAATGCAGGAGCTGCCCCCTGTGGTCAGTGCACTCCCACAGGGGGAGCGCCACTCAGCCAGAAGCCGGGTTCACAGCTAGCAGGCACAGTGGTGGTGGTGGGAACCTCTCCCGCCTCCACAGAAGCACTAAGGACCCCTCAAGGGTGCAGGCCAGGCCAAGCCCTCCACCCTCCTGCCCCAGTGCACAAATGTCATGCACTGGGCCTCTAGTATATATTTAAAATCTTGGTGGATCATAAGGGATAAGTTGACATTAATACAGTCTTAGTAGGGGACTTTAACATCACACTGACACCACTGGATAGATCTTCCAAACAAAACATTAAGAAGGAAACAGAGACCTTAAGTGACACACTAGATCAGTGATTGGCAAACTCATTAGTCAACAGAGCCAAATATCAACAGTACTTCTTTAAAATAGACTTGCCCAGGCCAAAAACCAAATTCTGCGCATGGGCGTGAAACTAGAAATCAACTACAATAAAAACACTAAAAAACATTCAAATACAAGGAGGCTAAGTAGCATGTTATTAAACAATGAATGGGT